GGGTTGCCCCACCAACACAGGTCTCATATTGGGTAAGAGGACCCGGATTGGATTCTCGAAATTAGATCCAATTGGCTCTTCAAACCCGTCGTGTCAATTGGTCCTTCTGATCCTGCTAACTCCCGTTATTAGAATCGAACGGAGCATTTCAGTATGCCCAGGCTGACTGTAACGGGGTGACTGAACCTGACCACTCAGTATTTGCGCTGGAGTTGGTCGATGCTCTCAATATTCGAGGTAACTGAATATTAATAAAATTCCCCTTCTTTTTTTCTTTTTTTTTATTTTTACTGTATACTCGTGTTACAACACGACAGCGGAAGATGACTTTTCCCACAAAACCACCTAAGACAAAACCTAGTAAAAAACCTCGAAAAAAGAAATCCTTATTCATTGGAGCAAGAGAGTTTATAAGATCATCTAAGGAAGGCACTCCATTTGTCATTTATGCGGTTCCAACTACCAAGGAGAAGATCTCAACATCAAGTATACCGGAGCAATATAAAGATTTTGAAGACGTGTTTCAAAAGAAGAATGCCGACATACTACTGGAATACCGACCATATGATTGTGCCATAGACTTGCAAGAAGGAGCACAACCACCTTTTGGCCCAATCTACAATCTATCGCAAACGGAGTTGGCAGAGTTACAAAAGTACATCGACGAGAATCTGGCCAAGAACTTCATTCATCATTCAAAATCATCAGCTGGAGCACCCATCTTATTTGTGAAGAAGAAAGATGGATCATTACGGATGTGTGTGGACTATCGAGGCCTCAACAAGGTAACAAAGAAAAATCGTTATCCATTACCCTTGATTTCTAGTCTCTTAGAACAACTTGGACGTGCAAAGATCTTTACAAAAATTGATCTAAGGGGAGCTTATAATCTCGTACGAATCAAGGAAGGAGATGAGTGGAAGACAGCATTCCGTACAAGGTATGGTCATTTCGAATATAATGTCATGCCTTTTGGTCTTACCAATGCTCCAACGGTTTTCCAACATATGATGAATGACATCTTTCGAGAACACCTCGATGATTTTATTGTCATCTACTTGGACGATATTCTAATATTCCCTAAAAACGAGGAAGAGCATCAGGAGCATGTTCGTTTGGTTTTGGAGAAACTACGCAAGCGAGGACTATATGCCAAATTAGAAAAGTGTTTATTTCACCAGACGGAGATGGAATTTTTGGGGTTCATTGCGACTACAGAAGGTTTGAAGATGGACCCCAAGAAAGTAGAAGCAATCATGTCTTGGGAGGTTCCGAAGACGGTTAGAGACGTACAATGCTTTCTTGGTTTTGCTAACTTCTATCGAATCTTCCTCAAGAATTATTCTCAAGTTGCTGCTCCTCTCACTCGATTAACATACAAGGATAAGTTGGAATGGGGACCTTTGACGGAGAAGGCGTTTCAAGATTTGAAGACAGCATTTACTACAGCTCCAATTTTGGTACATCCAGACTTTACAAAGGTCTTCTATTTAGAAACTGATGCTTCAGATTTTGCTTTAGGAGCTATGCTTTCACAAATGAGTGAAGATAAGAAGCTCCATCTAGTTGCATTCTATTCTCGGAAGTTCTCTGCTGCTGAAATCAATTATGAGATCCACGATAAGGAACTTCTTGCTATAGTGGATTCTTTCGAAGAATGGCGTCACTTTCTTGAAGGAGCTGTACATCTAGTAACCGTATATACGGATCACAAGAATTTGGAGTATTTCATGACGGCTCGAGTTTTAAATCGGCGTCAAGCTCGGTGGAATATGTCGCTATCTAGATTCGATTTTGTTATCACTTATTGATCTGGAAGGCAGCAAGGACTATCCGATGCTTTATCAAAGAGATCGTATCTTGCACCAAAGGCTGGAGAAGTAGCGTTTGATCAACAATGTACAACGTTATTGAAGCCAGAGAGATTTCAACTTTGTGCTACTATTGTATCATTTGATGCTGACTTCCTAAACGAGGTACGTGCTATGACCATTAAAGATTCAGTAGCCATTAATATCAAGCAACGTACCAATGACGACAAGTTCAAGGTGGAGGGAGATCTTTTATACTTTGAAGAGCGATTGTACATTCCAAAAGGACTAGCACGACTCCGAGTTCTTCAATCTCGCCATGATTTTCCAACTGTGGGACATTTTGGATTCAACAAAACCTTAGAGCTTATTTCCCGAGATTTTTGGTGGCCCCAAATGTAGAAAGATGTGAAAGATTTTGTCCTCTCTTGTGACATCTGTTCAAGATCTAAGAATCCTCGGCATCGCCCTTATGGACTTCTACAGCCATTGCCAATTCCACGTCGACCATGGTCTTCAATTTCTATGGACTTCATCACGGACTTGCCATCATCAAACTCATTTGACAGCATCTTTGTCGTGGTAGATCGGCTTACGAAGATGGCACACTTTGTTCCTTGTAAGAAGACATCATCCAATGAAGTCACAGCAAGACTCTTTCTCGATAATGTGTATCGATATCATGGACTACTAGATGATATCATATCAGATCGAGGTACCCAATTCGTGTCTAAGTTTTGGAGATCTCTCTTTGGAATATTGAAGGTGGATATCAAGCTTTCTTCAGCTTTTCATCCTCAAACTGATGGCCAAACGGAACGGGTGAACCAAGTCTTGGAGCAGTACTTACGATGCAGTATCAACTATTAGCAAGACGATTGGACTGCATATCTACCGCTAGCCGAGTTTGCATATAACAACACCCTCCATGCGTCGACTCAACAAACACCATTCTTTTCCAACTATGGGTATCATCCGAAGCTTGATTTATTGAGTCCGTCAACAAATAACAATCCAGCAGCTGAAGGATTTGCGAAGCAACTATCAGAGCTTCAAACTATGTTGAAGCTTCAATTGCAATCCGCTCAAGAATCCTACAAGACGTCTGCAGATAGATTTCGGAATCAAGCACCTACTTTCAAAGTTGGAGACAAAGCCTGGCTTCTTCGACGAAATATCAAGACCAAGCAACCATGTGATAAGTTGGACTATCGAAGATTGGGACCATTTATCATCCAGAAGCAAATTAATCCAGTGGCATACCGGCTGGAGTTATCGGCTTCTATGAAGGTACATCCAGTCTTTCATGTTTCTATGTTGGAACCTTATCGAGAGTCATCTTTTCCTGGAAGAGTGCAATGTCCGCCACCTAGTATTGAAATCAAGAACCACGAAGAATACGAGGTTGAAAAGGTATTGGATTCACGGCAAAGGTGGGGAAAGTTAGAATATCTTGTTCATTGGTGCGGCTATGACATTAATGAGCGAACGTGGGAGCCAGCTGAAAATCTTGCGAATGCGCCACAAAAGGTACATGAGTTTCATCAACGACATCCCGATAAACCTAAATCAATTCGATGATAGCTTCTTTCTGAAGCTTGTTCTCCCAACAATATAAGAAAAGGGGAGAGCACCAGCAAAATTCATAGTTGATGTAGTTATTTTCTCCAAGATAGATCGTAGTTTGGTCTTTTGATATGGATAGCCAAGAGATAGATACTATGCCAGTCAGAGTATCGCAATCGAGTAGCTCACGAAGGCGACCCCGAGATGAAGAACTACATGTACCACGACGACGACGGAGGATACCGAGTAACCGATCACTGGTAATCGTATTTGAGATCGAGCCTGCTTACGATCGTTAACCAGAAGGCGTGTTTGTAGGACAATTTCACAATGAGGATACGGAAGTTCATGCTTGGTCAGAAGTCGAAGGCGTGGGCCACTACCGTTGGCTTCAAGAGTCGATGAACCACTTGCCTCGTGAACAACAGTTGGAGTTCGTAGCAGAAGTTATGCGACAGATCTTCATTTTCTTGCGTTGGTACTGATCAACAACATTGCTTCTCAGAGACCTCGAAGCTAAAGGAGGGGGTGATGTTAGGGACATATTCTTTAGAACTTTCTAGAGAGAAGTTTCTAGAACCTTCTAGAAAACAAGCCTCTAGAACCTTCTAGAAGAGAAGCCTCTGGAACCTTTTAGAGAGAAGTTTCTAGTAGCTTCTAGAAAGGAATCCTTTGGAACTTTCTAGAAGCTTCCTAGTTAATAGAAGTAGCTCTAGAAGTTTCTAGAACCTTCTAGAAAGGAAGTCTCTGGAACCTTCTAGAAGCTTCCTAGTTAATAGAAGTAGCTCGAGAAGCTTCCTAAGTAGGAGTATATATAGGGATCGAGGCTGAAGAGTTCTTCAGTCTCGACAACACATCTCTTGGAGTTCTAGCTTACCTTTCTGGTGTTGTTCTTGTACTCATCTGTTTAATCTAGTTCTGTCACTTCTTCTTGAACTTCTTGTTAGATTTCAAGTCTGTATTTTGTGTCCGTGACACTCTCTACTTTTCCACCAACCATAAAAGTTTTATTTTTAATTTTTTTTGGTCTGAGTTAATATTGAGTTATTATGAGAAAATAAGTCTAATTAAAAAGGTGTAAAATAACACTAAAACAATGGCGATTTAAACTTCTATTTTAAAAATCTCAACTATATTCAATAGAATCTAATAAAAGATTTATCTCTATTATTTCAAATATAAGTGATATCATATTTTATATATTTTATTTTATTTTTAAATATTACCAAACATTGGGCTAAAACTTAATTAAGAATTATAATTTTACTACCTTCTACAATAAATAAAAAATAAGAAATAGTTACATTCTTCTTTATCCCAATTAATAGTAAGATTGAAATTCAATTTGTTATGTTTATAATTAGTATAAATAAAAATAATTTTGAATTTTTTATTATTTTAGTAAGAGCTTCCATTCAAGCGCCATTGATAATAGGAAGTATTTACATGCAAGCACCATAAGTTTCATGCAGTCATAAAATCAGGCCCTCCACTGAAAGTGGCATCGGTTCTACAGTCGACGAAAGAATTTATGTTTAGTTTCTTGGATGAAAACTATCCATCCACTCTCGTCCTTCTCCCCGCTTCACCACCGAAGCATCGGTGGGGGTTTCTAGGGCTCGGAGAAGATCGCAGTGATTTTGTTTGGATTTTCGATCACTTAGATGGTGGCATCGATCGCGCGGAGAGGTCGAGGAGGAAGAGGACGAGTCTTATAGGGATCGTGTTGTATTTTTCTCTGCGATAGCGGTTTTACTCTGGTGAGTTTATTCCATTTTGTAACACTTGACGTTTTACTTTCTCTTGTGCAAGGGTCTGTTTGTTTCGCTGCTTTGTACCTCTTATCGCTGATCCGAGAGCCAAAATTTACACACTTCGAAGCATGATTGCTCGAAAATCTGAAGCATTCGATCTCAGGAACTACTGAATTTTTATTTTGGTTTCAGATTACTCTCAATTGTTTAAGGTGGCTTTTGTTGCTCGTGCTCTGTTCTAGTCGTAGATCACATCTGGCATCAATTCTTCGCCGCTGGTACTAGATAACTAAACGTATGATATGACCGAATTTGAGAGCTACAGAATCGGGAAAAAAAATTGCTACATATTGCTTGCAGTGTTGGTTGGTTGAAGGGATCCCTGCGCGAAGGGTTTCTTCCTATCTCTTTACATATACGTATGCGAACTTCGTGTGCATCACGGACGTCATTTATTGACATCCTCTGTCAGATATTTCTTGTAGGAAGCCGCTTTTCATATAAGTCATCATGGCGAATGAGGGTTTCAAGTTGAGTAAGGGAAGTAGCAGTCCTGTCTCTACAGGGGCTTTCTTCAAGTCCCGGGATGAGTACCGCAAGCATCCAATTCTTAACGGCCATTTGAAGAGAGCTACCCCTGGCCTTGGCATTGCCTTAGGTCTTTTTGGTGTTTTCCTCGTTGTGGATGGTATTTCATCGAGATTTTCTAAAAAGGATCATCATTGAGGTAACAAAAAAATTAATGGTCCTTCACATACTTTCTACATTCAGCATAACTTTCTTCGAGTCTCAGTTGATAATGATTCACGTCGTGATTTGAACCTGGATAGGTTGGTGAAAATTTGCGGAGTAATTCCTAACAAAATATCTCCTCAGGGGTACTTAATTCTACTACCTATTTTGCTTTTTCGGGCAGTTGTGCGAGTTGCAGACGACTTGAAGCTGAAAAATTTGCAAACTTGGTTGGCCGTCTTTCATGGAGATTGCATATTCCGAAATGGAGGAAATTGAAAGAGAGCTTTTGATAAATTTCCTTGTTTCGAAGCAATTTTTGGTTTAAAGATCCGTTATTGATCCTGAAGGAAGCGAACTTTTTCGTTTGCCAGCTTTGTTTGATACACTGAGCCAAATTCTCTTCTCACCGATTTCTCTCTGTTGTTTAATGCTATGAAAGTGTCTTGTATGCTACGGCAATATTCATGGCTCTGTTAGAATGAGGTTGAAAGGTGCAAATACAATCTAGACGTTATTTTAAGAATCGACATTTCTGTCCTACAGTGGAATTGCGGAATACAGAATAAGGACTTTGGGTTTAGTTCCACTTGAATCATGTTGGTGAGGTGTGTTGTGTCGTTTTAGTTTTCATCTTTCTGTCTATTATTTTTAGGACGGGAATGTTGTGTTCTTCCGCCTTGGCATGTGTATTATCGTTCCTGTATCTTATCGAATTGGTAGGGCCAACGATGTATAGTAATGTCTGGTTCTTTTTATTAGAAAGAGTGTGATGTCGCTCGTCCGCACTGAAATAAACTCTGGAATTCATTGTGGGACTTAAAGAATTGTAGGCGATTGTAGTTCAGCCTTTATTATATTGCAATCCCAAATACGCAACCCGAACACCACACAACCCATATGTACTAAATGGCTGTCAACTTTATTTAATTATTCTTGCAGACTTCTCTTTAACAACGTTTGGGAGACGATTGCATTTATATGATTTTGGGGTTACAACGATGTTGTTATAGTTCAGGATGTGGAATATCAACAAGAGAAAATACCTCCAATAGGAGCAAGCAAGATCCATTGGACTTGGTCGTCACTTGATATTGTAATAGTGTCATTGGACTTGGTCTTCACTTGATATTGTGTAACAGTGTAAAATGATGTCATGTAAATATACAAAGGATGAGTTTCAAATATACATTTATAAGGTGGTGTCCTTGAAAAGATTTTGGTGTTGTGAATACAACTCTCTAAATTACATAAGGATTGAACTTCTTCTACAATGAATTGTTGAAAGTGTATCCATTGAATTTGAAATTGCATGAAATATTAGTATAAAAATGTATGTTTGATTTATATATATATATATATATATATAATGAAAGTTAAATAGATCTTGGCTTTTATTAAATTAACCTACCTATCTTAACTATCATGAAAAATAAATGATATTTAGGTTCATTTGTCCACTATTAGATTTGAATCTAATAAAAAACAATCATATTCATCATGATTATCATATTCTTCATTATTGGTAGGTTGATTTAGTAAAAATTTAGGCCTATTTATTCATATATATATATATATATATATATATATAGTAATTTTTTAAAGATTTTCAAGGTTGTGTTGCTAAATTAAAGATTTTATTATATATATATATATATATATATATATATAAACTTTTGTGGATTGATTCAAAGTTAAAGCATTTTATGTACATTTGATACTATATAATACCACTTGAATTTGATGTTTTGTCATTGGCATAACTCTAAAATTTTTGAAAACAATTTTGAAAATTACAGTAGTAATAACATGACAAAATAAAAAGATCTATTAGATTGTATCAATTATAAAAGTTTTTGTTATTATTATTATGGATTGGATTTTATTAAAATTTAAAGTAGTTAATTTTTTTATTATAAGAAATTGATTTTTATACTTGTTTACTATCATTTTTACAAATTATTATATTAAAAATTTAAAATTAAGTATTATATTTGTGTAAAGGAATGTTAAATAGATCTATATTTTTACTAAATAGATCCGCTCTTGATGAAGAATATGATATTTATAATGAATACGTTGATTTTTATTGATTGCAGATCTAATAATGAAAAAATAAATCCAAAAATCATTATTTTTTTCATGATGGTTAGGATAGGTGGTTTGATTAGTGAAAACTTAAGTCTATTTAACATTCCCCTACATATATTGTGTATATATATAATATATATATTTGAATTATGTATGTTTGCATATTTAATATATATTTATTATTTTTTGAAGATTTTTATGTTATTAAATATGCATAATATATATATATATATATATATATATATATATGAATATATATCAATCTTGAAATCTTTGACATTAAAATTTCTAAAATCTAATTGATTGTTTTCTATTGTCAATTCCACAAATATCATGCATATTTAGAAGTAGCATTTATTTATTTATTTCAAGTAAAAGATACACCTTTTAATATTTTGTAGTATTTGCAAATTTTATATTTAACAAATTTTTGACAAATTATATGTTTTGTTTGCTTAGCTATTATTTCTTTCATTTATATTACACATTTCATTTATCACTACCTTGTGCTATATATATATATATATATATATATTACACATTTCATTTATCACTACCTTGTGCTATATATATATATATTTCAATATAAACAAAAATATATAACCAATGAATTATATTAATTTGTTTCATGATTTTTTAAATAAATATTCAAGCATAAAGATATTTATATGTAATAGTTTTTTTCTATCCTTACCAAATAATTGTTGTTAAATATCTAAGAAAAAAATCATATATATCTTATTAAACTAGGCCATAATATACTTGATTTTACAAATCACCATTTTTCTTATGTATGAATGTTTTGTTTTGATGCTACATGTCTTTGTCTTTGTATAAACATTTGATAATTCTTATATCAACATCTATATACATTCTTTGCCAAAATAAGTGCCTAAGAATAAGTAACTTGTGTCCAGCTTTTTCTCTCCTTTAAAACCAAAAAAACTAAAAACAAGTATCATGACATCATGCTTTAACAAATGACTTGTAAATATTTTAATTTTAATTTTTTGTTGTTATACTACTTACAAGAAGAGATTATAATTATTATTTTTTCCTAGCATGTGATTTTTTAAAATTTAAATATTATTTTATTCTATTATGCTTCATCTTTACATTTTGAATTTTATCAAATAAGATTTAAATTTCTGTGTATTCAGTAATTCAAAAAAATATAAATCTTTTTATTTTTATTTTAATTATATAATTAAATTCAAAATATTTATTAAACTAATTTATTATTTAAACCCAAACATAAATCTAAAATAAAAAAATAAAAAATCCCATGATTTCTTTTAAAGTACAAAAAATATTAGATATCATTTAGTCTCTTGGATATTAGATATTAGATAAATATTAGATATCATTTGGATATCTTCTTTACACACTTGGTATCATAGATCTTTTCCAAAAAATGATGCACATTTATTTTATTTATAAAAAAAAACTCTCAAAAACCTTTAAAAAAATCCCAAAACCCTCAGAACTTTCCATTTTTTTTTTAAAATTCTTTTTACTACAGAAATATTTTTCTATCTGCAAATTCAAGTATTTAGACATGAGATTATATTTCAAATCAACAAATAAAAAAGATTATAATGAAATATTCTAACACATCTCAAAGATAAACATCAAGCAAATACACTATTTAACTCTATATTTTACTCTATAGATGTGGTTATTTATTTATTTTTAATAATACAAAAAGAATAAAGAAAAGTTATTGGGAAGCCATGCCTCATCACCAACGCTATCCGCAACGCGATCGATGGCCGCGTGGTGGTAGTCGTCGTCGTCGTCGCGGGCGTCGCGTCTCGTCGCCACCCTCGCGCGGCTTCTCGCGGTGCGGCTTCGCACAGCCCCGCGCTTCCCGTACCCATCCCCTCCGCACGCCCACCTGCTCGTCACAACCATTCCATTCCAGCTGCGCCAATGCCAGTGCGTCTGTGCCAACTCAGTGAATGGCTAGTTGTTGCTGCCGCAGCGCTGGAGCCGCCACCAGCAACTGCACCCATTTTTACTAGACTCCAAATCAGAGTGCAGTTTAGTTGGACTTGGGAGGGTGTGTAATCCCATGGCCCGTGCGGAAGTCGTGGAACCCGACGTGATGGAGATCAACTAGCGGTTCAGAGCTTGCTGTAGGAGGGATCTAGTGGGTACTAGCATTGTCGGAGTTCTGGACATGAGTTTGGGAGACTTTTACCGTTACTTGGAAGATTTGTGTCGGTTTTTCGGGTTTGGCTATGGTGGTGTTAGATTCCCAGGACTGGAGCGGGCTGTAGCTTAGGCAAATACGTGTGGTTGCCACGTGTGGAGGATTCGAGGTTGTTGAAGAGCTGGATGTGGTCGAGGAGAAAGGAAATCTGCATTGGGGCATGGGTGTTTTCATCGTCAAGCATTGATCTGATGATGCGATGATGGTCGCTGTTGGTATGCGATAAGTTTTGGAAGAATTTGTTTTCACGGGGATTGGACTTCGAGTTGTGTAGCCTCTGAGCTTTATGGCGGGTCTTCTTCTATCGGGATTGTGGTTTTTAGGTCTTCTGCGTTCGTCATTGGCGGGAGGACCAGGAGGTATGCCTCTTCTTTCAACCTTCGTCTTATCCCTCTTTTGATTGTAGATGTAGTGTGGTTAGTGCACGGCGACTGAAGGATTTGGAAATGGAAATGCACGCCGTCTTCGTACAGTGATTGTGGATTTAGAGGGTGGGGACGTTTTGCAGATTTTCATGTAGCTATCGACTGCGGGGGCTACCTTAATTTCTCAAACAGTATCAACCAAACCTGGCTAGCCGACAATTTCTTCTCCGGTGGTAAAGTAGCTAATGTCTCCCACCCAGAGAATTTCCCTAGGCAGCAAGAGCGCAGCCTACGTTACTTCCCCATCTCTCACGGCAAGAAAAACTGCTACGAGATTAGTGTACCCGTGGCCCGTTACATGATCCAGATGTTCTTCGCATACAACAATTTCGACAATTTGAGCCACTCCCCGAGCTTCGACGTATCCGTGGAGGGCACGGTGGTGTTCAGCTGGCGGTATCCCTGGGCCGATGATTCCGACAACTATGGCGCATACTCGGACCTCTATGCCTTCATTCACGACGGATCCGCAACCATTTGTTTCTACAGTATTGGGACTGACGCACCTGTGATCGGCTCCCTAGAGCTTCTCACAGTCGATGACGCTGCATACAATTCCAGTTCCACTGGTCAGAACATCATATTGGCAAACTACGGCAGAGTTTCTGGAGGGGATAGTTCCTTTGGGCCGGGCTACGATAACGTGACTGACCTCGGAGGTCGCTCTTGGGTAGTTGACGATGACTACACGACTAATTTGAAGCAGTTTTTGACGTCTGCACACAACATTGTCGGTGCCAATGTAGCCCCAAACTACTGGCCAGTGCGGCTCTACCAAACGTGTCGATACGAGCAGCAGCCGGGTGTTCCTATCACATACAATTATCTGGTTGATGCCAAGCTGGATTACCAGATTTGGTTCCACTTTGCGGAGATTGATCCCAATATTACAGCAGCTGGGCAACGAGTGTTTAATGTGACAGTGAACAATGTAGCGGTGATTACAGGGTTAGATCTATTTCAAAAGGCAGGGCTCAACACTGCCTTCGACGTTGTCTACACTGTGAGGAACTTGACTGAGGGGCTGCTGGTGATATCCCTGATTCCGCTTATTGGAAGTCCTTTGATATGCGGGGTTGAAGTCCTTGCAGTCTTGCAGGCAGACATTGCGATTAATGTTACTGAAGGTTAGTCTTGCAGAATTAGTTTATTTTGCCCTGAAACGAGACTGTTCTTTGCGTTTCGTCAGTCGTTTCTGCTCAAATTGGTTTCAGCAGCTAAAAACTTATATTCGTTCCATAAACCTATGCTGGATCAACCATAATTTTTGCTGCTTGTCCTTGAACAGCTGCGGCTATGCATGCCCTGAAAAATGCACTGAACGTGCCTGAGAGGATGGGGTGGAACGGAGATCCCTGTGCGCCTACTGAATGGGATGCGTGGGAAGGAGTCACTTGTAACCTCGCAGCTGATGGTTCTTCTCTTGTGATTACTCACATGTAAGGTCACCTGAATATTCCGCTCTTTGTGTGCAATCGCAAGAGTTATTGAAGTTGAATTTTTGAGATAGCTTAGTGTCTTTCCTGGTATATTTTTTACGGATTCGGTATGTGGAACTCAAACTTGTACGTTTCACCCAACACGCTAATTTCATTTCTGTGTAGGGGCCAGTAATTCTCTTTCCTCACAGTGAAACTGATGTGAATTTTGAGTATTCTAATTTGTGTCCTTTATCTGATATGTTGCATTTATTAGTTATCGCAGTGGTCCTGTACAGGCAAAAGCATCAGTGCTATCTGTTACATTTTATATTAGATTGAATGCGTGATTTCTTCTGTTCAGGAACATTGCTGATCAAGGGTTATCGGGTGTTCTCCCAGCTCAGCTTACCGACCTCTCCCATCTGGTATCACTGTAAGATTCTGCTTATCTTCATTTGCATTTGTGACAGCTTGAAACCTGCAAGGCTAAATAGTCTTGGGTTGATTTGTTTCGAGTTACCCTTATTGGTATCGTATTGTGCTTTTCTGCACACCTGACGAGGTCGAGCAGTGTGAGCGAGTCTTAAGTTGTGGCTGTTGATCTCAAAATTGGCAGAAATGCGAGCAGCAACAAGGTTTCTGGCCCCTTGCCCGCCACTTTGGGTGCTAGCAACTTGGTTTCTCTGTAAGTTTTCGCAGTGCCCAACTCGATACCTGTAGCCGTTTGGTTGACATTAGTGCATGTTTACGGAGCAGCATTTTTGGATCGTCTCACTCAATCTAAATCTGCTATTTGTACAGAGACTTGTCTTTTAATGCTCTTGAGGGACCGATTCCAGTCACCCTAGGCTCTCCAGGAATGCAACATTTGTAAGTATCCTCCCTACGCATACTTGCAGCGACCATAGCATAGATATATTCCTTTATTGTACACCTTCAATGTGGTCTATGGCTCTACGTCTGCTATCTCTTTCAGTTTCGACGAGTTCTGTGAGCTTTGACGCTTTTGTGCTTGATTGTACAGACGGCTAAACAACAACCGATTAGCTGGACCTGTGCCAGAATCTATCTATGCCATTGGGGTTCATGGTGGCTATATTAATTTGGCAGAAAACCAGGGGCTTTGTGGAGTGCCATCACTGCCAGATTGCGCTTACAAATGGAAGCATGAGGGCATGTCGTCAGCAGTTAAAGCAGTTTTAGCGATAGGTGTGCTGCTTGCTGCCGCCATAGTCGTGTGTGGGGCTTACGTGTATATACAAAGGAAGAAAGCTCAACAGGACTACAATTTCAACCTTCCCCATCAGCTCGTTGGTATGTCTCTTGACAATATCATCAGACAGAGTATGTCTCCTAGAGGCGATCGTCTTCATCCATATGCGTCAATAAATTAATTTTTTTGGTTGGGCTAGTTAATTTCAATTCAAATTTTACTACTATTTATTGTCTCTTCTTCGTCCGCTATTTTTTGCATCTCCCAGTTGCTTTTTAGTCACTACATCAGCTCCATGTACTTAGGAAGTTTCTCTAAGAGAATTTTTGAAAGGCGCATAGGAGTGACCTCAACTTAGTACTAGAGCTTAGGTATCTAGCTGAAGATACTGCTCGATTTGGATTTTAACGTGTACTCAATGTTTTTTTCTGTAATTATTTATCCTTTTCGTGTACAAGTTTCATGTTGTCGGCTCTTGGTTGCTGTGATTAAGTTGATTCCGAGTTACCGAAGCTTGCACGTAATTGTAATGTTCTGCTGTAAGTATTGGTTCTAATTATGCGCCACGAGACTTGTTTGACCAGAAAATTCACTCGCTGGGAAGAAGTCGAAGTAGGCAGCTGACAATGGAGATGCTAGACTTTTGTTGAATTTGAATGTGTCTGTCGGCCTTCGGCTACAGGAGATGCATAATAGTAGTATTTAGATTTATGCACTAACTTGGATTGCTCATATTGTGACAGAGAGGACGAAGTGGTACCAACAACACAAGATGACCAAGCAAGCTGATCTTGAGGGAGTGTCCATGATCCAATCCAGTATTCCCAACCGCTTTGGTTTCTCTTCAAACATAACTTCCAGAGAATAGTTTCTTTTCCTTCGCCACACATTGTACCAAAATGTAGACGAGCTGATGTTCGGGATACGCTCAAGGAGCAGAAAAGGTCGACGCTGGTGATCTAAATCATAGGCGTAGGGTCCTAGCATGCAGGGTGAAGAGATGCTACAGGCATCTTCTTTTCTATTAGCGCTTCCTTTATTAAGGAATAATGAAGCGTGTGTGGGTGTAAAAGGACTGCACCCACATCAAGTTGATGAGAACTCTCAGTTTCGACTCACAAGAGGATCCAGAACGTTGAGATCATTCCTGTTCTCAAGCCCACACCCATCTTCCATGACATCCCTTCTGGTAGGTTGAGGCAGTAGCGATGTATTTGTATACTAGTCTTCTCGAGGAAAGTTAAGCCCTCGAATTCAAGTTTGGGGCGAGGTAAAATCTAGTTAGTGCGTGTTCACAATTTGTGATTCTTCCAACTTGTGGGATCAGTCATATTATGAGCTTTTCATTGTTATAAATTAACTAAATGGTCAGCACCGGACTATCTGCGAAGTCTCAGTTTTCTCCTAAATTAAGCAGCGGCTTGGACGCGTCTGACTGGATTTCAACTACGTTGTCTACCTTCAGCGTCCCCCACCGTCTTCATTCAAGCGAAAGAATGTCGGTCCTCTGGAGCTCGGTGCCACTCGTTGCAGACTTCTGGTTCTCCGTCGCTGGTACGATGTTTCGCTTCACAGCATGGGATGGCGCAGATGCTACTGGCTCCACTTTGAGGCGCGGTGCTGGAAGAGGAAGGAGATGTGTGCACATGCATGTGACGTGGGGCTGTGAAGGTGTGTATATAAAGATGGACCGAATATTGCTGTAACGATTGCTTCTCGTGAGAGATCCAGTCTCGATCAATAAGTTTCAACAGACTGTATATGATGTGGTCTTCTTCAATTGCGTCCTTTGCTAATCGGTCTTCTCTGGTGTTCTCCACTGTGACACGCTCTATGAAATCACTTTCCTTCGATGCGACACCAGTAGGTCATCTTGAACGCTGCTGTGCCCTACAACCTTCACGCACGTTTACTTGAGGGTAACTTTTTGTATCTAATTGTGGCTCACCCTTCGAAGCTCACCTCTAAAGTACTCATAGCGGTACCTTTTCAGAAGAGCTTGTGGATCTTAAAACAACAATTACGGGATACCTGGCTGTGTACCAAGTGAGAGTGACCTCTGGATAAGCAGATGTCTCCCGCTGTCCCTAGTAGCTCCATCGAAACACACAATCTGGGGGGGATGCTGGTTGAGATCTTGTCCCCATCCCATCATTCTCGAAGCACCGCACCTGAGAGTGGTCATATGCAATCAGCATCAATTGACTTCATCTATTGAGGTTGAGACTGATTTCGAAGCTTGAATTCAAAGAAACTGCAAAAGAAAAGACTCATCCTTTCGAAACAAATTGGGTACCTTGGTGTGAGTGCCATGGGGGTATCATATGCAACTTTCTGACAGGAAGTGAAATGTAGAAATGATCGAAGTTTTTGATATACGAATTGAAACCTAGAACTTGTGGAAGCAAGTGGAAAGTACTGAGAAGATGACCAAGGGAATGGTGAGATTCACTGAGCTTAGAGGTGCCAGAAGAGGAATCGTGATGAGTGAGATTCAAGTATTTGATTTATGTTTTCCCACGATTGAACTAATCGAACCCGTTTAATTTTTTAGCTGCAACATGAAGTAAAGCAGGTGCCTTCGAAGGGCCTTCAAATCCAAGGGTAAAATTTAGCGAATCCTCCCAATCTTTCAGTAGCTCACAAGATCACAACCTAAGGTGAAGAGATGCGACTATCACTACATAACTTGTTGCTAACGATCCTACATAACTTGTTACTAACTTGTCCTTCAGAAAGAGGTCTGATGAGACCTTACGGCCACCGTCACACGCGTATACTGCTGACCCCCGGGCCCTCAGGGTTGTCCTGCGTTTTTCCTCAGGGTTTTCGATCTGATAAACACAAGACAACGATATGTCACTGAGCAACACAGGAACCAAGATTACTGCAAATGTTACAGATGGCTACTTCAAGCGGAGTTTAGCGAGGGGTTTCCAACCTAGATAGCTAAGACTGTCTGGGGCTCAATGTTCGGTGCAGCCCGTGATTCATTTTTTAATGCGTGCGGTCTAGGATGCACAAGAAATTAGATCAAATAGGTGCTCCATCTCGTTGCAGCGAGATGTCGGACGAGACTGACCACACACCTTAACCAACAAGCGTAAAAATGCATGCCAGTAGTGTAGACATTTCCTCCGTGCCATGCCTCAGAAACTTGCTGACCAGGTGAGATTTAACTCACCTGTCGTACTCATTTGTAATACTGAGTTCAGTTGGCTACGTTCACATGCGTCTTGCAGAAATTGTGCATCAGATGAGGAAATACTGGGCAAATCAGCAACACACGCCAACTGTTGCCTTGGTTTAGTACAACTTTGTTGCCCCCGGTTCCTTGTTCAGTTATTATTGGAGATTTTCCATGAACGGAGATATCCGTGGACAATTCCAGCCCAAAACAAGCCTCCTTTTCCTGTTCCGAAGTCAAACTGTCTGTCTTTTTCATATCTCTGCGTCAGCCATTAGTTAGCTGATTGTGCTGACACGTGAAATTGCAGGAGTACAATTATGTAGATGAAACATTCACAACTTACCCCAGAAAGGATAACTGTATTTGATTGCTGATGTGATCCTCTGTCTGCTCGGGCTTCTTGTGGATTTGAACGGAGTTTCCTTCCAAGTAACATAACGTGCGCCGGAACCCAGGGTTGAATTGTCGAGCCCACTTGAAATCCTGCGCGAATATTCTCACTGCTAGTAAATTGCACTATTGCCTCTCGCATGACGTTTGTGAAAGAATGAGAATTCGAAGTTTCCAAGGGGTTGAGCTGCATGGAAGATTACAGCCGAAACGGTAACGAATAGAGCAGGAGGTGGTAGTTCATTCTACCTGGATATAGTAGACAATGATGTCAATGTAACATCGTGCATTTTGACAAATAAAACTGCTACATTGCTGCTAATTCAGTCAATGCAAGTAAAACCTCCAATACTCTCAAGCTACATAGACTTTGCAACATGAATCTCAATACCATCATTCACCAGCACAAGCTCGCACCAATTCTTCACCCTTCGAATGTCACTAGTGTAAACCTTCCCGACGTTCATTAAACCTAAACAAGATGATTAACTTTTATATAATTGAACCAGTGCTCTAATATCGTGCAGGCAAGAGCTGCTTCTCATAATATAAATTCATTGCTTTACTCAATCATAAATTGATGACACTATGTCTATAATCAATGCTGTCCACTAACAAGCTCATTTTTGCGTAGGTCTATACTGAAAACTAATATGCACAGCATCATTGCAAGATCTACAATTTAATTCTACCTTCATAACTTCAACTATGATATACAAAAATCGATGTGCAATACGAGTGTTCAAAGACACTTTGCAGTAGCAAAATCAATGCACCAGTGAAAAACAGTAGAAGGGTATCCGTAAGCCTGATAGCGGAATGAATGGCAATCTGAAATAGCACAAATTCGGAATCCAGAACTTAACGGTCCATCCGCAGTCAGGGTAGAAAAGATAGCGATATCATCCGGTTCGAACTATGCCTAGTGCTTCTCTCCAGAGTATTTGCTCGTGCGCAAAATTTACTGATGGCTAATTCGAGAACAAGCAAGAAGGAAATAGGATTGAGAAAGATCCACACCAGAAAATGAGGTGGGAAACATACAGGTGGAAAGACCTACTATAGAAGACAACCGCAAGCAGCCAGATTGCATGAAAAGCTTATTGAAGCAACTATACAAGATTTTGAGTGTCAGATATGGCTCGCATGATACAGCCAATTCCAGCCATGTCATAAAGCTTCTCATGAAGTCTAAGACAAAGATCACAGGTGATCCGATCCCCAGTCGCTAACCCTCGATACAGATACTTCATAAGAATGTCATGCAGCTCGGGGTTTAATCCCATCAGCAACCCATCCACATCCTTGGTCGCCATCAGCACCCGATGCACCAGCAACCAATTGGCGGACTTGCACCGCTCGTCCCGTGTTTGCGTGGGCGCATCCATCAAAGCTGTCTCCAAAGCCTCTGTGTATTGCGGTATACGCAGCAGGCGCTCCACCTGCCGCGACTTGCCCTCAATCCTAGCGATGATTACCTCGGGCGACTCAGTCTCTACGTATGTATCGACGTCTAACACTGACGATCCGTTGTCTTCATCGTCCGCCATCGCCTCAACACCAAACGAAAAACCCTTATTCTCGCCACAGCCAATTCCACTCACTCTGATCCTACACTTGATGGATTCCGCTCTAAAAAAACTTCACGGAAACCTGAAGAGAGTAGAAACACGATGCAATGTGACTGATCGTAATGACATTGCGATGCAACACATGAATCTGCAGCACTCACACTGCGGCCATAGCTCTGCCCAGGAGAGAGTGAGAGAGGGAGAGATCGTCCATGAAGCTTGTGCATTTGCGTCCACCTTCAAGTATTGAGACCCGATCGCGCGGATGCGATCCTGGGCGTCACGGCGGGTTTATACATCGGATTGCAATGGGGGCCGGTGTATCAGTCTAATATTTCTACCCTGTTGATATCCGCGCGTATCAATAACGAATTGTATTGGCACATGAAAGATGCATCGTGACATGTGGTTTTCCTTGACACTTGTAATGCTATTGTGATATAATAAAAATATTTGTACCTTATTTTGAAGACAATTTGAATAGATATAAGATTTTACTAAACTGACCCACCCATTCTAATTCATCATGAAAAAAAATAATGACCTCTAGATTCATTTTTCCACTATTAGATTTGCAACCAATGAAAGCCAACTACATTCATCATGATTACCATATTCTTTATCAAGGGTGGGTCTATTTAATAAAAGCATGGGCCTATTTAACATTACTCTATCTTAATTAGAAATACCAAGGGTTTGCACAATCTTAAGAATCTGTACATTTTTTGTCCTCCAAAATTTTATTCTTACTTTGTTTTCAAGTAAAATATTTTAGATACATGTGTTGGTGTAATATATGAATATGCATTTGCCATATGTATAAAATTAAAAACAAATGAAAAAAGAAAATATTTGGTTGTTAATTAAAGTATAAATCTATGTAGATTGCATTTGCCAACTTATTTCTTTTTTTTTCATTTAAAATATTTATGACTAAATGTGTGTGTGTGTGTGTATATATATATATATTCTAGCAACAAGATTATCAAACAAAAAAAACCAAGAACCAAAAAACTGTAACTTAAGTGAGATGATATTAACTTAAATACAAAACATTTATAATTTCCAAAGTCTTGTGCAATTTTTTTTTTTTTTTTTTTTTTTTTTTAAATTTTATTTTAAGAAAAAGATAAATCTTTAAATTAGTAGAGACACAACTTAGTATACATTATACAAAATAAATAATAGATGATGAAAATTTTAAAAATGGTTGGAACAAGGATCTAATGTAAGAATTCAAAATAAGATCTCAATACACCTTTACTAAAATACTATAAGGCTTTATTAACAAGGTGAATAAAGGTCAAGAAAAGACTCAACAACATACCATTAATTGAATCAAGTATTTAATTGTACTTCAATATCTAAATCTATATACTATAATCCTTTTAACGTAACCACATACTTGTCAATTATGGGACATGCTTTCAAAAAGTGATTATTTATAAAACACAATTAAAGTATCCAAAATAAGTCCTAATTTGTTTACTTGTACACAGCTTTAAAAAAGGAACATAAAAATCTTATATGAACTTAAGATTAGTATTCATGATAAGATGAGTTTAATTCAAGATAAATTAACATATGAAATAAATCTACAGCTTAAAGTAATGTTACAACTACAATATTCATAATTCTTTTATATTGAGTATTGTAGACATATTACTATTCCAAATAAGTTCTGAATACTACATATTGAGATTTTGTGAACTTCATCTCACATTATAAAACCTTAGATAAGATAGACAAAAAATACAACACTTCAAATGATATCTTTGAAGAATCTAAGTCAATACATTTTGGATGATAGAACTTGACACGACAGTGTCTTTTTGTTGCACATACATTATCTTACGTACATCTTAAAATTATGGTGTAAAGGCAAAATTAAAGATGATTTCTCACTTGATATTTAACATGTATAGGTAATGTGAAGTACACTTGATAGCCAAATGAAACTGCATGCAACAACCATACCAACTCTCTCACATTCCTACTGACAACAAGCTCAAGCGATGGGAGATCCACCACTGTCCGAGACAGACGATGAAATAGTGCAACAGATGAACAGCTTCATGGGAATCCAGTGTAAGAACAATCTGATAACATTAAAGTCCTTTAAGTACATAATTGAGCAGCAAATATTGAGTTATCAACATTCAAATAATAAGAGGGATACTGTCATAGTGGCTGTTACCACTCAAGGTAACCAGTTTCTCCAGCCTTGCTAAAAGATAGGCATTTGAAGACGACACAATGATGGGTTAAAGAGGCACCTGTTCAATATTATATCTAATCAAATCAAGGATGCATCCAGGTAAGAATCCTGTCGGTGGGATCTACGGACAATACTCTGATTAAGGTCTTGTATGGTGACACACATCTTCAAGGAGCACCCACTAGGAGGAACTCAAAGGACCACTTACAGGCATTGAATTCTGTGCAGGAGCCTCATCCAGGCTTGTAGGAGCTCATCGTGATCTTAATAACACAGACTCGGGCCAAAAATCAGGGGCGACTGCTACTAAAGGTAGGATAAAAGAGAAAAATTGTGACTTATTTACGCTGTTCCTGTAATGAGCTTTTCTTGCTTATCCAGCTTCTTCACCTTCATGATTCCAATAAATGCCTGAAGACCAAACAGGGCACTACCTGTGAAGGCTGCAGTTGCTGGCACCTGTAAACCAACCAAAAAGTCGTAATGTAGATGTTAATACCTCCACCAGTGAAACATATCAAGCCAGAAGTTTGGATGCAACACGTAATGTCCATCAGAATTGATCTTTCTTCAGTTAATGCGAAAGCAACTAGCACCATAAGATAACCCATTTGAAAAACTAACCGTGATTGCGCTTAGGTGCAACATAGTGGCGATTTGTAGACAAGTAGCTGCAAGAATAGCCTGCACACATTACAAGCCTCAAGGATTACTGCGAACAAGTGCTCTTGTAAAACATGTAGAAGCCGACTCACTCATTATGAAGGTCTCGTGTGATATGGGATTTCTTTTACATGTAGAAGTTGACCTAAATGTTTAAGTTCAGAAAAGTATGAAAATGACAAGTTAAAATGTTCGATTTATTTCTAGACATAATCAAAATCCGGTCCAGATAAATCACCTGGCCAATTGTCTGCTGCATCGTAGCAACACGTTTGAATGCTCTTTCAGACTCCAAAACACGCACTCTCAGTTTCAAATCACCTTGCTCCTGCCAAAAACAAGTGGGACATGTTAAAGGCTAGATTAACCTGAGTCATATTTCACTGAAAGAAGAACATAGATTTCAATAGTCAACTACTCCCAAAATTGGAAGAGTCGCTTACGAGGCGTTGTATCATGTTGGATATCTTCTCAACCCGATCAGCTTGTCTAAAAACATTGACGAATGCTTGTGATTGCCTGTCCCATCGTTTTCTTAAATCCTTCACATTCAAAGGCCCCATACATTTGAATTAGAATAGACGCACACTGTACTTACAAAGGCTCTTTCATGTGCACCACTTGGTCAGTCTCCAATCAGCACTAATTCTGGAGCTCACCACAATGCTTCCTACAATGGCCGTATCAGTGTACAAAAATTTGATGAGAGATTTACCTTAACTACAACTTCCACCCCAGCCTCTCGGAACCTAAGAAGTTCCAATGCATATCTGCAGATCACATAATCATCGGACTTATTATCAAATTCTTATAAAAATTTCGAGAGTAAATAAAATTTCTAAAGTCATACGTGACAAAAGAAACAGTCGATGGTTTCGGAGCGAGGGCTGCAGAAAATTTAAAAACCAGAAGATGCCTATAATAAAAAATACAAGACGATTTACTTACGGTTTGGCGATTTCTGAAATATCAAATCGAGGGTCTAATCCTTTCCCAATTCCATCCAATACTGTGATCCAACAAGAAATAAACATAGTCAGACCAAAGCAAGGGGGTAATACTGCATGAAATCCATAACAACAAGATACAGCCATGAATGTCAGCCTTGATTGCATGACTGGATCACAGACCTGAAAAGGCCCGCACTACAAAAGTGAAGGTAGCCGGAAACCGAAAAGGTTGATCTGCTCCAATAGATAACAGATCCTCACCTGTAAGCAGGCAGTTCAACTTCACCCAATTAGAAAGAACATCTTATTATGACACATATCACCAGGTACAATCGCCACCTAAACTAGAAAAGAACCAAGAGTACTGCGTTATTATATGGATTAGTAGTGTGCGCAATGCATGTACACTACAGGAGTAACCGATAGTTGTGTTCCAGCAAGGTAGGGTCACATAGAAGAACAGCTGTCTATTTGTCTAAAATTCTACGCAAGCATATCCAAGTTTTACCATATGTCATCAACCCCGGGTCATAATCAACATATCTGATTCTAGACTCACCAATTGCTGCCAACCGCAATTTCTTCTTTTCTGCCTTCTCCTCCTTCGTCAATTGTTTCTTGAAACCCAATTTCTTCGATTCAGCTTCCATCCGTTCTTTTTCCGCCCGTTGTGCTGCCAATCTCTCCTCAAAGCTGTATCCGGAAGCAATTGAGTTACGAAAGTTGAAAGTTGAAAGTTGATTGATCTAACGATTAACATATTATAACTTCCAATTACAAATTACGAGTGTGGATAAACCCCTACATAAGTGAAACAACACATAGAGTTGATCTCATCGAAAATTTACATGATGGAGGCAATGCAATTGTAGAAGTAGACACGATAATAATACCTGTTCAAGAAAAACTGTGCCGTGCGCCGAACAGCTGTCAGGTCGCTTGATGGCACTAACACTCCCATCTGCACCATGGCCGCCAGAACCTACAGAGAGACAACATGCCTGCTTACCAACCGCCGATTCTTCGACTATTTTCGGAAAGCATAGTTAATCGTTATTCTGCCCTCCCAATGTGTAATTCGATCTATAGACCTGACGAATTTTGTATCACTTATTATAGATATCAATAGATATCTGTGAATATATCGTATCTATCTTCATTCATCTAAAAATCACAGCAAGGAGTAGTAGATCAAGTCTCCCACTAAGCAGCTCCACAAAAACAAAATGTGCCACATATCATCATGTTAACATCGTTGGAAGTAGATTAGTCTACTTGACTAGCAATTAAATGAAAAATCAAGTAATGTCACAAAGAAACCAAAACATACCTTGTCAGGATCCTTTTCGTACACTCCATAGAACACCTCTAGAAGCCCTTCTCGAATGTTCGGACTAATGCTGCACATAATTAGGCATTACACAAAAAGAAAAAAATTCAGGGTAATTATCTACAGGTAAGCGACAAACAACATGCTATGCATGTAGTGCCTAATTACAACCACCGAAATGAAATGAACAGTTTTCACCAGCAGCTTCTAAGCAAACAGCAATTACAACCACAAAGGTGTTCACCTGCCCATCATCCCGAAATCGTAAAAGATCAATCGCCCACCGTTGGCGTCATCAACTGCAATATTTCCTGGGTGCTGCAGAAGCAAAAAGCCATTCAACGTGCAGATATGAGAAGAAGGTCCATATGATCTCATTCTACGTACAGCCAGAAGGATAAATAGACCAAGAAGGAGGAGGTGAGAAGATTTTCTGCCTTCATACAGCCAAACCAAGATTCTGTGAATCATCACATCCTCCTATAATCATCAGAGTTCAAGATTTCTTAAAAGTACTCACAGGATCTGCGTGAAAAAAGCCATGACGCAAGATCTGTTCCAAATAGGACTCCACAGCGTACCTAGCCAGTCTGCGCACAACCGGGAGGGAAAAACATGTAGTAGATTACAATCCTATATATTTTCAACACTGTCTGACCTGTATCATGCTACATACGGATTCTTTAAAAAGTGAAGTAATGTATGACTAGAGTGGATCTCCGAAGGCACATGAACCTTGCATCTTTCTCTACACATGTGCAAGGTGTATATTTGTAATACCTCTTCCGATCTACGCCAAGCTCATCTAAAGCAGCTATTCGGTTGATTTTAATTCCAGGTACGTACTCCATGACCAAAACCTGTATCATCCAAGAGCTAGCATGAGCATGACCTGAAAATATCTCAGGTCTTTAGTCCAGAGCCAAAACCTCCAAGACTGTTACAGTAAAATTTCAAAACTTCTTGTTAATGATATAATGATTCATGTAATTTAGATTTTAATAAAATAAAAAGCTTAATGAATAAACCTTTGCAAATGAATTTATTGCTCTAAGTACAAACCTGAGGAGTGCTAAATTCCCGATAAATCGCAGGAGCCTTGACGTAAGGCATATCCTTAAAATTTTCTGCAAACCTTTCCGCATTCGTAGCCTCTTTGGTGTAATCGATTTCCTGACAATGATGACAAAATTTAAGCTTTATACGAACATGCCTGAATCCTTGTGCAAAATTCCCAAACGCGAGATCATTAACATTGTTGGATATATTTCAAGTACGTATTGAGCCACCATGTGTGAAAGTAATGTAAATTTAACCTAAAGATACTTAAAAAGCTAAGTAACGACTGAGTGCAGCTATCAACCTCATATAGCACATTTGCACATTCATCGTATATTGCAACCCAATCTCTCTTCGCTCCATCAGACTTGGGATCAATTTTTTGCAGATTTTGAGCTATAACCTGGAACAAACAAATAAAAAACGCGTTACAAACAAACAGATATTAGCACGTATGGTGATGAACCCTACAGCCAGTAGAATAAGCCACCACATAGACTTGTTTTCACAACCTTAAGAAAAATGACAGCTAGTAAATGTGTCCACGAATGGAGGGGCTATACCGACAATTGAACTGTAGAAATACTGAACTCAAAGGAATTATTGGCTCAAGAGTCCAACCAAACATATGATTTAAGCAATTGACCTGCGGCCTTAACCAGGTTCTGGGCGGAACGAGTTAACAGACATCCCCACTTCCTGCTATGCTCTTCTTAAAAGTACACGATTTTTTTCTATTTATTATGCAAAATAAAAAACTTCTAAAAGAGTTTATTTTTTACGTGATGGGAATTCGAGTTCACTAAATTAAAAAATTCGGAGCACTAACCCGCAAGTTCTTGAGGTCAATATCAAAAAGTGCTTTCAAGCCTGGGCGTTGCACTTTAACAACGATTTCCTTACCACGAAGTTTCGCCCTGTGAACTTGACCTGAGTTCAAACCTCAAACATTAGACTCCCTGTGAAATGCACAATGTAGGCAATAAACTCAATCATTTTTCAAAGAAAATCACATACCAAGACTAGCTGCAGCAATTGGATCCCGATCGAACCGATCAAAAATCACATCCACTGGCCGGCCCAGCTCCTCCTCCACAATCTGCACTGCAGTCTCCGAACTGAACGGAGGAACTTGATCCTGCACACAAGAAGACATTGCACAGTGAATTCATTCAGCAATCACAAGGTTTCTGTCCAATATATGATCTAGATGCAAGTTCATGAGAAATTGTACCATAATGTGATGATTTAAACAAACCTGCAGTTCAGCTAGTTCGTCAACGTACTCCTTGGCAAGAATATCCACTCGTGTCGAAAACTGTTGACCGATTTTGATGAAGGTGGGGCCAAGGCGCAGTAGACCCTCTTTTAACCATTTAGCGAGAACCTTGCGTTTCTCCTGTTTCTTCAACTCGGTCATCCCACCTGAGCATCGCGAAATTATACAATTTACTACTTCATCCCGGCAACCTATACAACTACATGATTTATTTATTTATTTATTTATTTTTTCTTGTTTTGCAGACTTTCACTTCTCATCTTGTTTTATCAAGTCAAATCATTTGACCCACAGAATATCAAAGTACTACAAACAACATATGCACAAAATAACTAGATTACTGAAATAACAGGCGACTAAGGCACCTTACCTTTATACATGAATTTTTGATTATTGAGCCACCACTTAAAAAGGAAGGTGAACACGAAGCCCCAAATTTCCAAAGATCGTTGAATTGTAGAGTAAGTTTTGAACTTGTTCCATCGCCCTCCAGGAGTAACCGAGACCTGTTTGGATCATAATGACGTACCGAGTTCAAGACTTGACGATAAGAAAATGTGCTGCTGATAGGCATCGTTTCAAAAAATCGTCACTAAATTTCATTATCTCCTATCTATAATGACCCGCGGTTAAGTTAGAGACCAATTTCTATTTTAGCACTGCGATTCTCGAAAAGATACGTACTCCTCATAAGACTGGAATTCAACATATATTTTTCGATGGGGGTTTACTTAGCAACATAGAAGCACTACCACACAAGCATGCTAGCACTCAATACTCCAGGTTCACCCGTTTAAAGTGGTTAAAAATCATCTTCCTCACAAGGCCTAAGGATAATATACAGGAACAGGGGAGCTGATGACCGGCGCATTCCTACAAAACAACCGACTGCCAAACTCATAGATTACAAGCAAAGACTACATTGGAACCGCACAATTAATTGGCTACAAAAAATTCTTGGATAGTGAAAATTAGTTCAAGCAAGAAGATCCATAAGGTTCCTCACCATGCACCTGCTCTGCAAGGAAAATAACATGGTTTTAAATGAATAGCATCCTAGCACACAACAATGTGCTCCACCCAACCTACGTCCCTCGAATCTAAGGAAAATATACGGAAGCATAAGTCCCAATAATGTATCCACGTAGACACTTCTACATGATTTCTCTCAAACGAGACTGTTGTTAATAGTCTCCTTGCATCGTTTTTATAAAACAAAATTGATTAAAAAAGGTCTTCACTGTAGACCTTAACATTAACACTTCCTGCAACTTGCGCTAACAAAGAAATTAAAAACACGTGGGGCCGTGTCACAGTCATGCTACAATCAACAAGCTCCCACAGTTTATTTGAAAATTCAAGGATGATCGCAAATGAAGGGCACACTAACTAGCGCAACATGAGACCTCCCTAAAATTCAAGATTAACTCGACACATGCAGGAAAGCTTCCTGAGCGATAAGAAGATAATGACATTGGGTGTGCGCACTACCACTGTGCGTGGTGCACAATGGTTAAGAAGATCTCGAGTCTTCTCGGCCAAAAAAAGCAATCAGCGTACATAACGTACCTGGACATTGGAAGCTTGAACTTTCTTAAACCACGGATCATCATCCTTGATAGACTCCACTTTGGAGACAGCCTTGGTACCTTGAATCGCGTCTACAGCAGCACGGGCAGCTCCATTGGTGGGCAAGCGACTGCTGCCATTTGCTGCTCCATTGATTGACCCGTTGCCATTAACACTGCCGTTCGTTACAGCACTCCCATTCCCAGACGCCGCACCATTGCTGGCTCTCGCTGCTGCCCCGTTGGTAGACACCCTGACAGCAGCGCTATCGATTGACCCGTTCGTGGCCACCCTGTTGACGCCGTTATCGACCACAAGCGGAACTCCGTTTTCGTACTTGGTGCCCTCATACGCTTTGGAAGCGTCAGGAGAGGGCGACCACAACCGGCCTTCCTCGTCCCTCTCTACCTCGCTCGCCAACTCCTCTAATTGCACTTGCGCTCTACTAAAGTCACTGCATCGCCTCCCACCCACGGCCGACCTCCTCCCCGCATGCTTTACACCAATTCTCACCCCTTTCCACCTCCCAATTCCATCCCCTCTCGTCAAAAATGCAGCCACGCCGGGAGCCGATGTCGCCCGGCTCAACACCGCCACACTTCCACCTCTCCCATCCCACGTCCCAGCCGCAATCCCTTGCGCAGCGCACGCTGCCACGCACGCCGCCATCTCCAAGTGGGTCTCGGGGCTTAAAGCCTCACCACCCCACAAGCTCCTCAAACCCGAAACTCCTCAAAATTATTGAAATTCCACCACAAGTGCTTCCAAAACCCAAGAAACTAAGCCACCCAACTCCCGTAATCCTACAATCCACAACCCCGCACCACAATTCGACACCCTCTCGACCTCGTCGAACCTCACAGACCAGTTGGGTGGGTCTGGTTTACAAACCCCTTCGCTGTATCTCCGCCCTGAAGAACTCGTGACCAGGAGAGGCGACGAAACGGAGTAAGATGATGGACGCAAAGGCCAATAAAAAAAAGTTGTGCAACTAAATGGAAGCGATGCTCATTGGCGGAGGTGGGGAAGGCCAATCCAGAGAGTAGAAGAGGCTGCACCAATGGCGAGCGGGAGGGGGAGACATTGGAGAGGCGTGTGAGGCTGAGGAGCGAGGGAATGGAAAGGCTCTCGGGTGGATATTCTGCAGCCACAAGTTCCCCTTCTCTCACCGAGCGCCACCCGCGCATCCCCACTGGGCATCACGCTGCGTCAAGGATTTGCCCACTGCCGCCTCCTCTCTCGCGCGTAGATACCACTCTTTCCCGTCTGAGCAGATGATGATATCATTCCATCATTGGTCGCCTGTGTTTTTTTTACGATATTTTTGACCATTTGGGAAAAGGTTTGACATGAGATCTCGCGACGACAGGGTGTGGATTTCGCCGTTTTCAGTTGTGCATTAAGCACCTGCTCTGGCTGCGAAAACGGCATCTTGAACATTATACCCTTTGGGATATGTTGGGTGTAAAGTAGTGGTACTGCGGCGAGGGCCGTGTGGGATGTCTAAATTTGGGAAGGTGAATATTGTTTTCGAGAATGGATCACGAACTGAAGAATGGTACGGCATTCAATACGTAGTTTGAAGATTGAGAGGGCGAGTTTCTATTGCACGATCAGCAAATACATGGTGTTGAAGTGTAAAGGTTGCAACAATGCGGTTGAGGATTAACAGCTTGTTAACTTGCAACCAAACAGTGAACATTCAGAAATATAAACTAATTCTATACATGATGAGAACCATCACGAAACGATTTTAAATGTAAATTACGTTTTACAAAAAAATTGAAAAAAAAATAAAATCGATTTGTTTATTGCTCATGATGCTGACAAGCTGGTAAAAGAACTCCTGAGGACGGTGATGTTTTGATGTACTGTTGAGAGAAAACAGTAATACAGCACAATGTCTACCCTGTGTCCACTAATTACGGGAGGAAAGCGCGAAAACCCCTCACAAATAATAATGTGAACCACCTTCCATAATAATCTTCACGCTCCAGGTGGACATTCATCATCCATGCTTAAAAGATGGGATACGGGAGTTTTGTACACAAGTTGCCACTTGCTTTGCATTCCCACTGCAAGTCTATCCTCGTATGACTTCGGGAACTTTTGTTTATCAATAGCGTTGCAGAAGCATCCCTGGTCGAAGTACATGAGCCCTTCCTGGCACACAATGCCACAGATCGCTCAAAGGTTGTCAATGAGTGCTTTGGTGTAGTCCGAGGTGGTAGATTTGCCACCAAGATCAGAAGTAAGATACTTCCCCTCCGAAATTGTCTTCAGCACAGCACTGTGGATTTGATCCGCGTAGTTGTGCAACTTCAGATGATGTAGCATCATCACAGAGCTCAACAACAGGGCCGTTGGATTCGCCAAATTCTGTGAAAGCAATATCAATGTTCATGTGAAAAGTCAGTAAAGCTGGTTTCCAATTCCAGACAACCAAGATACAGTCTTGACCTAGTTTTCTCATTATCCGAAATCTCAACCAAACATCCGCAGCAGAGTCAACCACCAACAGGTTTTACCCCCTAACATGATGAAGAGCAGTAAATGTTACCATTTTGTTCCTCCGTATAGGAGAGTATCTAGGACTGTTAACTTACTAAATCTACAACTATTTAAAATTTACATTTAGAAAAAGACTTAAGAACACTATTTTCACTTTTTAAAATTTTGATGAGACATCCAAATGCCAGGACATCATTAAAAATTAACTTGTAAAATTTTCGCTTCCAAGATTAAAAAACGCCCCAAAGAGCAAATCAGACAAAAACGATTCAAGCAATCCGTTGATACTACCACCAAAAAATTGGCGTGGAAATAGTCATTGAGCTACATAATTTACTGCCATAACATGGACGATCCAGAGTAACTAGCATTGGAGATCGAGAGGAATACAACCTTGCCAGCAATATCAGGAGCCGTTCCATGCACAGCTTCCATCAAGGCCAATCCATTATCTCCAATGTTTCCACTGTTATCCACCACCCAAAATCACACCATAAGCAACGTCATTGTCTAAAAATAAGTCCGAGTCGCTCAGAACAGGTCATTAACAGCATTTCAAAAATGAACTAGGTCTATTTGAGCATATAAAAAGCCTGTGTTCCACTTAATTTGGAGCTCACAAATCATCCAAACTGCTGCAAGTGTACGGTCGAGCAAAATGAAGGTTTCCATGAAGCTTCATTTTCAGGCCTTACAAGAAGAGCAGAAACCAGTAGCCGACACAAATTGAAGCTGAAACTCCAACTAACTACTTTCTGATTTAAAGGCCTCTCCCGTCCTAGAACTAATTTGCAATCACCAATACATGCTCAGCACTTCAAGAATGTTATCAAGTTTTGAGAAGTCAATCCTACCTAGGCGTCAGCCCTAGACCGCCAATTAGACCAGCGCACAAATCGCTGATGATATCACCGTAAAGATTAGGCATTACCAATACATCAAATAATGCGGGGTTCTTTACCAACTGCACAAGGAACACGGCAAATGGATTTATATATATATATATATATATATATATATATATATGTGAGTGTGTGTTATTCTCTTCATATCACTAATCCCAAATGCAAAACATACTAAAAATAGTTTCTAGAAAATCCATGTACCGCACATGCTTAAAATTTATGAGTTATGGATTACTATTATGACATTAAAAGATTAAAGACAATCAGGTTTCGGATTCTATATGTCAATATCATCAAATGCATGTAAAAGTGTGGCGTACAAAATACCAGAACTGCTTTAGGAATAATAAAAAAAACAAACTGGACAACCAAATTTTCCATTCTGATTACCAATACCTGCTCAAATCATTTCTAATATGTTTTGAAACACTAAACATGGAAACACAGCATAAAATAGGAGCACCTCAAAATCGGGTTTATGCCTAAATTTCACTAGTCCAAACTAAATGTACGCATAAATTTAACTAGGACTGGTTCCTTCAAATTCGAATCCACATTCTCTAACGATTAGAAGGTTGATGAAACTTACCATCATGCAGCAATTGTCAATGATGACCTCTTCATACACAATGTCTGGGTACTCAGCAGCTATTTCCCTGCAACACTGTAACATCGACCGACCCATGTAAGCAATGTTTCCTACTACACCTTCTTTCAAATCGTCCTTGATTGAATACTCTAAGAATCCAAATCAATTTTGGTGGCAACGATTCGGATTCAATTCAAAAGGAATAGCTAGTATGGACCTTCAACAACGATATTTACCTCCAAAAATAATCCATCTGTTTTCTTCATGATATTTGCTTTGTGAATGACAGAGACACGCTTCCTGCCGTGTAAGCGAGCATAGTGGAATGCGTACTTAGCCACGCGCATACTTGCATTCTTGGTAATAATTTTTATGCTCTCCACCACCCCGCTCACCACCTAAGAAAGCAAACGAACTTGGAGCTCAATACCTTTAATTAACAAATTCATGTTCACAGAACATTCAGATCCTCTCCAAGGAATGCGTTATTGGTATACATGATGGACGCTTTTGACATATAAGAACAAGCCGTACCCCAAGTTCGTAAAATTCTGGAAGCATTCACATGAGAGGGTAAAACCACAACACTCTTAAATCAACAAGATACACCTGATCCTGAAAGTATTGAAACTCATTTCCTCTACGACCCAAAGAAAGAGTAATTCGAAATATAGCCTCAGAGACTTACGGCATTCAGAACCCACCTGATGTTCCAACCCACTGTACTCGCCTTCAGTGTTTTCTCGAATGGTGACCAGGTCAACATTGTCATACCGTGTCTTATATCCTGGAATACTCAGACATGGTCTGACATTCGCGTACAAACCTAGTTCCTTCCTTAGGGTCAAATTAAGGGACTTGAAACCCTTGCCGATAGGGGTGGTCATGGGACCCTTCAGACCAATCCCGTTTCTCCGCACAGATTCCATGCTTTCCCATGTGAGAAAGCTGCCAGTTCGCGGATCGACCTTAGTACCCACCCAATGCTCCTCCCACTGGATAGGGGCTTTGACGGCCTCAAAAATCTGTAAGAATTCAGGGTGTAAGTTCACGGGTGCAAAGTCATGCCAATTACAAGAATAAATAAATAAATAAATAAACAACAACAACAACGACGACAACAACAGATACAAAATTCAAAAGTGTGCTCCCAAAGTTCGCTACCACAAGGGCTAAATTCCCAGCACCCAAAAACAAACATGCACATCATCCTCACCTCCTTCACAGACACAGCGATCTCAGGCCCAATGCCATCGCCAGGAAACAAAGTAGCCGTGATGAGCTTCTCATGGTCGCTTTCGCTAGAGAACGATCGGCGTGACGGGTCGAAATCATGGTGGGGAACAGACGACGACGACGACGACGCGGCACGGGAGGAGAAGGAGAGGAATCGACTAGAAGCCACAAGGGCAGAAAGCCGCGACCTCGCATTCTGCATCGCAGCAGCCATGGCTGAGTCACAATTGTGCCTACTGAGGCAGAAGAAGATTGCGCGCAGATGGATCACCTCCTAATCAACCCAAGACCTGATTCCTGACTCCGAATCGAGGAGGGGAAGCATGGAAGCGGCAGAACGATGGTGTGATTCTAGCCCCTTTTGCAACAACACCAGGGACAGCAGCTCCACGCTGCGGTGAAGGGCTGGCTGGCGAGCTAGATGCACGGCGTCACCGGTTGTGCCCGCGACTCCCTTCCTCACTTCTCCTGTTGGCCCCGTTCCCCGGTGACTGGCTACTGCTTCTCCCGGTGGCCGTGTTACCGGTTGTACCCGCGACTCCCATCCGCCCATACCTTGTTGGCCCAGTTTCCCGATGATCCAGTCCCTGGTTCTCCCAGTGGCCAACCACATCACCGTTCCGTCCGGTATCTTCGTGAATCCTCTGGATTGGGTTCCCGCCATCTGCACTCAACCACCCTTCAGTGTTCGTGCTTGCATAATTTTTATTTATTTATTCCTTTATTTTTATTTTTTTGTTTCTTTACTTGTTTAATAACATTTTTTGCATTCATTGCCTTTCCAAGGTGGTGAAATTTTTATCAGTCCTAGTGGAATTTTTTCGGTCTATTTTATTATGCTTTTTTCTTTTGAATCTCATGATAATACAGATTATTTATTTATTTATACACTAGAATTTTATTTTCATTTAGAATTCCAATGATTGCTGGAAAACACAGAACTACAATGATAGTAATAAATTAGTTAAAGTATAATAATATAAACATATATAATATATTAATGACTATGTTGTATTTTGAGTTTCTTACCAATATTTTACATATGTTATATCTTACACATGTCAGAAAGATATGTATTTCACATGAATTTGCTTCATACATTGATGAATGCATGATTGAAAAAAACTGATTTGATTGACATCTACAAATTATTTGATAATTTATTACATAGTAATAATAGTAATGAATTAAATGATAGTTAATGTTAAAAATTAAATTCATTGATACTTTGATTGGAAAAAATTTAATTAATAATGTTAAATAATATAATATATAACCATATATATATATGTATTTAAATTAAAAGATAATATAAATATTTATTTTACTAATATTTTATAAACATATGTACAATTACAATTTTTAAAAGCTATGCATTTGTCAAAGACATGAATCTTGAAGAAAGAAAATCCTCAACACACTTGTGTATTACTAAAAGGAACTAGAAAGTTACTTAAAGATGATATAATATTGAACTGGAATGGCTATTGCTAAAAATAAGAAGACTAGAAAATCTTGAAACAAGACTAAGGACTAGAAAGACATTGATAAGAGTGAAGAAGACTTCACTCTTGCCTCTATATATATTCTTAATTAGGAACTATATGGCGATGTCATATATGACCTCCAAATGTGTTGTCTTTGTAAGACACGTATCTTAACTTGCAAGGCAAGTTTTCTATATGCATGCCACATAGTTAGCTTGTTCTGTAAGCTACCAAGATGTGGTTAATTTATTGATCAAGTTTCTAGCCTACCAATCAAGTACAAACACATGTAAAATCAAGTAGCATCTATAAAGCTTTTTTAAAAAGTCTTATGAAGTTAATCTATTTTTATCTACTTTTACCTATTCCTACTTAATCATATAGATATTTACTAGAATACTTATGTATGTCTATGACATTATCTCTCCTTCTAGGAACGAGTTCTATAAGGAGTGGTCTTCATATGTTGAGAAAATCTAAGATGCGGCAAATTGTATTTGCCACATACTCCAATCTTTGTTCGAAGTTGATTAATAGGCTCTCTCAGCCATCGATAGTATTCCATACTAGGGCAAGAAGACCATCCTATTATGTGGTCATTGTTGAGTCCTTCATAACTTCTTTCAAATAAAACATTTGAAATACCATTAGGAGTTGTTCCTACCTCTAATAAAATCACCAAATATTGAAAGTCACTTCCAAGGTTGTGATACCAAACACTTTTCTTGAATAAATAGCAAGATACAATGTGTTTGACAAAGAATTTGCTAAATCTTATACTGCAAGATCATCAACTTTTGAAAAGTCAAAAGTATCAAGTTGTGGATGATAACTATAATTGGCAAAGAGATATATTTATTGAGTAGAAGAATATATTAAATTATTGTATGTAAACTCTGTCAATGGCAAAAGAATTGTTCAGTCATCTTGATGATAGTTGATGATACACCTCAAATACTACTCCAAAACTTGATTTATTAGTTCTATTTATCCATAAGTTTCAAGATGAAAAGTTGAAGAGAGCTTTATATCCACCTTTAGAATCTTGAATAGAGTTCTCTAGAATCTTGATACAAATTGAGTCCCCCTATTCAATATAATATCTTTTGGCAATCCATGATAGTGAGAGATATTGTCAATGAAAAGCTTAATTATTTCTTCACCTGAAATAGATTTTGTATATGATACAAAATGTGCCATTTTAGTGAATTGATCTGCGATTATGAATGTAGGGTCATATGAATTTGAATTTGAAAGATCTATAATAATATCCATAGAAATGGAAGACCATGGTTCTTCAAATATAGGCAATGGTTGAAAAAGTCTATAAGATTGATGACAAGGAGTTTTTGATCTTGAACAAATATCACATGATTAAACAAAGTCTTTTATTGCCTTTCATATTTGCGGCCACCAAAAATCTCTAGATATAAGCTCTAAAGTCTTGTTGTATCCAAAATGTCTTGCTATTGAAAAGTCATGATGTACTTAAAAAAGACGTAAATGTGCTTTTCTTTCTGGAACATATATGCATTCCTCAAAATAGAATAGGTTGTTCTTGAACTTGAACTTTGAAACATCATAAGACTTAGAAGAAAATTTCTTGATATCATGAATAAGAGGATCAAATGACATACTTGATTGAATTTGTTTGTCAAAGATCAAATCAATAGTCAATGTTGATTTCATTGCTCAAAGTTAAAAATGCTTTGGCTTCAAGAGAATTGTTCTTTGTTAAACAAAAGATATGTCTTCTTCTTTTGGTATATGATAAGAGCGTTTAGATTGAGCATTTGATAAACCTTCTTTTTTTTCTAGGTCAATATCTGATTCTGAAATCAAATCTTAATAACAACATGCTACAACGGACTTGGCGACAATTTAAAACATGTGCTAATATAAAATACTTGAGGTTCTTATGATTTATATATAATGTGATTGGACTTGAAGCACCTTCTAGATAGTGATGCCATTCTTGAAATGAATCTACAATTACAAGAAGTTGTTTGTTGTAGATCTCATAATTAATCTTGGCCATTGAAAATTTCCTGGAATGAAAAGCTATTGGATGGAATTTGTCATCTATTTCTATTTGTAACAATATTACATTCAAGGCAAAGTTTGATGCATCTATTTCCATAAAAAATACCTTAGAAAAGTCAACATGATATAAAGTTGGTGCAAAAGTAAATTCTTTCTTCAAAGAAAAAAATGATGCTTTGATTTCTTTATTCTACTTAAGTTTGTCTTTATAAGTTAAACGTGTAAGTGGAGTTGTAACTTGAAAAAAAAAATTGATAAAGATTTGGTAATAATTGGCAAAATCCAAAAAGCATTGCATATCTCTTATTATTCTTGAAATCTTTCAATCTATTATACTTTGGATCTTCTTTGGATCCATCATAAGGCCTTCATTGGAAATGAAGTATTCCAAAAAGTCAACTTGAGTAGTGTAGAATACATACTTTTCCATCTTTATATATAATCTTGCATCTCTTAGCTTTTTATAACACATGATAGATATGAACTTTATACCTTTTTATATTATTAGAATAGATTAAAATATCATTTAAATAAAAAAAAATAAAATCATCATTCATTAGATGTTGAAAAGCAATTGGTGCATTCGTAAGTCCAAAAGATATGACATTATATTCAAAATATCCATATTTAGTTTAGAAAGTAATCTTCCATTCATTTCTTTTTTTGATGTGAATCAAATAATATGCTCCTCATAGATCTATTTTTGTATAAATCTTTGTTTGATTTAGTTGATAAAAAAATTCTAAAAACAAAGGTAGAAGATACTTATTCTTGATGGTGATCTTATTAAGTCCTCGATAATCGACATATATTTACAAAGATTCATCTTTTTTCTTTACAAATAAGATAGAAGTGCCGACTCGAGATTTAGAATGGTGTATAAAGTTTTTAGCCGAGTTCTCATCAATATATTCTTTGAGTGCATGCAACTCATTTTGTTATAGGCTATAGATTGGTTCAAATAGTAGTTGAGTTCTTTCTTGAAGATTGATGGTACAATCATAAGGATGATACTTCAAAAGAATATTTGCATTCTTCTTTTCAAAAACATCTAAGAGATCTTAATACTGGCTAGGAATACCACTTGATATCTTCTTTTTATCAACAATAGATGTGGCATATGTAGCAAAAGATTATCCTTTATTTGCGACATGCATGAAAGCTTTTGTACATATCAATAAGAATTTGGATATACTAAACTTATTGATTTCTACTTATTTAGCATGACCTTGAACTAAACTTTGAGAAAAATCAAGATTGCAAAAAATCCAGTCTATTTGAAGGTTATATCTTTCTAATCATAATAATCCTAAAATGATAGGATTAGAAGGATATTTAATCATATTAAATATTACTTAAACTATTGTAACTATTAGTTGCTACTTCTATAGGAATAATTTCATGTATAATATCTCCAAAAGATAATGAACATCTATCTATCACTTCTACATGCACGGATTTGATTTTCTTAATTAAAGATATATTTTGTTTTTTGAAAAAATCTTCATCTATAAAACAAACTGAGGTTCTTGAATCCAACAGAACTAAGCCTATATAATTTTTTGATACTAAACAGACTTCTATTACAAAAAAAGATGAAAGATCATAAGAGAGAATAGGACCTTTATTAGATATTTTACATGATTCCAGCCACACAATCTCTATTGTAGTTGGAGCAACTTGTGCAAACATACTATCTTCTTTAGCAATCGTGCTTCTCATTTTGTAATTACATTGTTTCTTTGGATAATTTTGAGTAGTATATTTAGCTTCTCTACAATATAAGCATAAGCTCTCTTTACCTTGTCAAATCTTTTTCTACTTTGTGCGAGATTTAAAATGTACTATATCAATTAACATTGATTC